GAGTGTTGGGATAAAAAGTAACAATAATAAGATGAAATAAAACTAGTAATAAAATAATAGTAATAATGAAGAGTGTATAGAGCCAGATGTTGGGATAAAAAGCCTAATAATAAGAAATAAAAATAATAGTAATAATAATAGAGCCAGAGTGTTGGGATAAAAAGCAACAATAATAAGATTGAATAAAACTAGTAATAAAATAAATAGTAATAATAGTGTATAGAACCAGAGTGTTGGGATAAAAAGCAACAATAATAAGATGGAATAAAACTAGTAATAAAATAAATAATAATAATGAAGAGTGTTGGGATAAAAAGAACCAGAGTAGAGCCAGAGTGTTGGGATAAAAAGCAACAATAATAAGATTGAATAAAACTAGTAATAAAATAATAGTAATAATGAAGATTGTATAGAGCCAGAGTGTTGGGATAAAAAGCAACAATAATAAGATTGAATAAAACTAGTAATAAAATAATAGTAATAATGAAGAGTGTATAGAACCAGAGTGTTGGGATAAAAGCAACAATAATAAGATGGAATAAAACTAGTAATAAAATAATAGTAATAATGAAGAGTGAGTGTTGGGATAAAAAGCAACAATAATAAGATGGAATAAAACTAGTAATAAAATAATAGTAATAATAGTGTATAGAGCCAGAGTGTTGGGATAACAATAATAAGATTGAATAAAAAGTAATAAAATAATAGTAATAATGAAGAGTGTATAGAACCAGAGTGTTGGGATAAAAGCAACAATAATAAGATGGAATAAAACTAGTAATAAAATAATAGTAATAATGAAAGTGTATAGAGCCAGAGTGTTGGGATAAAAAGCAACAATAATAAGATGGAATAAAAATTGGGAATTTAATGAGGAGAAAAGACAATGAAAGAACAAAGTTCAAGAAGACGGAAACGGAAATTGGTAATTGACATTGCATTTACAGTTTTCAAGATCGTAGGTAGCAGCAAAGCAAGAAACCGGAAGTGTTTTATGCATGTAGGAAGTGCAAAAAAAAAGAAAATATTAAAATCGAACTTATGGTTACATCCAACTAGTTCAACATTCAAATGAGACCTAATTGCCAAGCTAGTAGTCTGTTGAAAGTAATGATGCTGAGGAATCAAGGAAGAGAGCTCATTAGAACAACTGCCATGAAAATATTTCTAGAAAAGAGTGAGGGAAAGCCACGTCACGTCACTGAGAACGTGACTAACGTCGAAATGCCAGGCCAGCACCGATAAGATTGCAGACCCTTCTTTGGATTTAATCGAAAATCTCGAGATATATAGCAGGAGCTCTAGACCAGACATGGCAGCCATATTTAATGCACAGACGAAGGGTAGATTTATAAATGTGCAAGATGGATTCTGATGAGAAAAATTATCACACGACACATTGAACCAACTTTAAAAAGCAAAAATGTGTTTCTATAATAATTCAAAGATAGCTCTTCCGTTTTTTGAGCCATTGCCCCAGATAACAACTAATTGGAGATCATTTTCGAGAGCCGTTCTCTGTTTTACTTTGTCAGCTCTTGGGAACTTACTATGGGACTTATTATACTGGTATAAACTGTTGTGTAATAAGCATAAAACCTGGTTGGGAACTGATGCCATAGGGAAGATCGCTGATGAAGATAAGAAACTATTAGGTCCTGGGATAGAGGCCTGTGGGAAGCCTGCACTGATATGAAATTATTATGTTAACATTGTACGAAAATAATTCTTCAAAAATAATTATTCGAAAAACATTTATTCGAATTGTAAATTGTTTTAATGAAAATTAATCGAAAGGACAATTATACTAAATTATAATTATTTGAAATGCTTATGTTTGAAATGCGTATGTGGTCCGGCTTTGATGGAGTCAATGTTGATTTACATAGAACTTTTAACGCCCTTGAAGGATGGCATAGGGCTTCTTTTTTTTTTTACAAGTGTCATCCAATCACCCCACAATATGGAAACACTTAGACGTTCTTAAAAGAGAACAGGACTTGCAAGAAATTCAGATTGCCAAAATATCAAGAGCGCCAAGAAATACCGTGACGCAAATGGAAGACTTAAAAAATTAGTGGCATCTTTTAACGAGTATTCTTCAGTAGTTGACTATTTGCGTGCAGTATCATATAACTTAAGGTTATAAGGATTTTTTTTTTTTACTAAATTGTTTTATAAACGATATTTGTATTTCGAATAATTATCATTTGTGTATTTCCTCTTTTAATTTTTACATTTTTATTGCAATAAAGAATTTTGCATTTCGAATAATTATCATTTAGTACAATTATCCTTTTCTTTAATGTCAGCTGTTAATAAATCTCTTGTGTTTAAATGATGTCAGTTAATGAAAGCAAAAGTAACAGGAAAGAAAAAGCATATTTTTATTCAGTTAAATGCCTTTTGAAGGTGTCTTTATTAGTCCTTCTTGCATAATTAACACAATTGCTATAAGTGAATATAATTCTACAATAGTGGTTCCTAATCAGTTGTTTGGTCATGACCCACTCTAGAACCTATAATTTGTATTATTCAAAAAGTGAACTATTTATATGGAGGAAGCTTAAAAGGCTATTATTAACTTCGTCTAAACAAACTTCCAAAGAATATGGCATCCATGACAGAGAAAAAAAAATGGAAGTACAGTTGAAGTACAATATGTATAAAAAATATTATTTTATATATAATATATATATATATATATATATATTTTATATATATATATATATATATATATATATATATATATATATATATATATATATATATATATATATATATAATTATTTATTTAAAATATGATTCCAATAATTTTTAAATAAATAATTATATTTATTCTACTTTTGTATCAAGCACTATTTTTTAAAAATAATAACTAAAATACTAAGGAACTTTGGATTATTTACCTAACCAGTTCATTCCTATTTTCTATATATTTTCACATATATATATGCGTGTGTACGTATGTATATGTATATATATGTATATATATATATGTATGTGTGTATGTGTGTATGTATGTGTATATATATATATATATATATATATATATGTGTGTGTGTGTGTGTGTGTGTGTGTGTATGTATGTGCATATATAT